ATATCCTGTTATGGGGGTGTTTCTCTGCAGCAGGGACTGGAGCGCTTGTCAGGATAGAAGGAAAAATGGATGGGGCAAAATACTGACAAATTCTTGAGGAAAATCTGCTGCTCTCTGCCAGAAAGTTGTCAATGGGAAGAAGGTTTACCTTCCAACATGACAATGACCCAAAACACACAGCAAAACTGAGCACACAGTGGTTGAATGAGAAAAAGGTGAATGTCTTGCATGACCTAGTCCCAGAGTCCAGACTTAAACCCCACTGAAAATCTGTGGAATGATTTGAAAACTGCAGTCCACAAACACTCACCATCAAATTTAACTGAACTTCAGCAGTTCTGCAAAGAAGAGTGGGCAAATATTGGAAAGTCAAGATGTGCAAAGTTAAAGCAAAAGGTGGTTCAACAAAATACTGACACAAGGGGGTGATCTTTTTTTCCAGCTCAGTGATTTTTGATTTTTTTATTTTTTCCTGACATGTTAGTGTTATATCTTTCACTTGGATGTCATTAGTTGCACTAAATACAGCTAAATAAAACAAAAACTGTGCCTTCATTTCAGGCTTTGGAGGCAGTGGGTATTTACCACATACCCACTGTAGTGCCTGGATTACCTGGGGATAAGGAAATAACATTTTTATTATTATCTTGATTAACTCACAACAGCACAACCCATTCTTGTCTAAATGGAACAGGTCTGACATTGAACAGTGGTGGCATCTCAAGGAAACAAATCTTACCTTAAAGCAGCAGTCAAACATACCAAAAATCTTTCATCTGGTATTCATAAACATTCTTGTCTCTTAACAGGTTTCTGATGTTGGTGCCTCCATGACCATCCATGCTTTTGGGGCTTATTTTGGATTAGCTGTCGCTGGAGTTCTTTATCGCCCTGGTCTTCGGAACGGCCATGAGAATGAAGTATCAGTCTATCACTCAGACTTGTTTGCAATGATCGGTATGTGTAGACTATAAAACAGAATAAAAAGCTATAAAACAGAAATTTGCCCCTTATTGCACACTGTAATCAGAGTGACTAATGAGATTTGCTTACATGAGTCTTATTTGCCCACATTGTCTCCTAGAGCTTCAGTAAATAATGTTTGCATAGAGTTTCAATAATTTTTTACATATAAAGGTAACTGGCAATTGGTAGACGCCATATTTAAATGAATGAGGCTGTGAGGGATTGATGCACTCAGTGCATTCCAAACGGGATATATCGCCCTCCGAAGGGCACTTCGGAGTGAAAACAATCATGGCCGTCATATTGAAGGGTCGTTCCAAACCGAAGTGCTCAAAACTGGCCACTTCAAAGGGCCCTTCGGAATAAATTATTTCGAAGGGTACAACTGATGGACACTTCAGGCTCCCATGATCCTTTGCGCAGATTCTTTGCAAGATGACGGCGCCTCCGTGTGGGCACGTGATGATAACACAGAAGGGCACTTCAAGAAACAGTTGTTTGTTCCCCTATACCCTTCAACCCTTCAAAGCTCTCACTCCGAAGGGTAAACCCTTTGAAGGGATTAGGGCATAGGGATGAGCCCTTCCGAATGGAACGCAGGGAGAGTCTGTTTAGTTGAGGGGTCTCCAACCCTGCTCCTGGTGAGCTACCTTCCTGCAGATTTCAGCTCCAACCCCAATCAAACACGCCTGAAACATCTAATCAAGGTGTTCAGGGTTACTTGATAATTACAGACAGGTGTGTTGGAGCAGAGTTGGGACTGAAGTCTGCAGGACGGTAGCTCTCCAGCAGCAGGGTTGGAGTTCCATGGTTTAGAGTGTTGTACAGGTGTACCTTTGTGTTGTTGTTTCAGTCAACAAAACATGTCTGTACAAAAACTTTCAGCTCCAGAAAACATTGTTGGTGACTAGTGATGGGAAGTTCGGCTCTTTTCAAAGATTCGTCTCTTTTGGCTCGGCTCCCTTAGAAGAGCCGTCTCTTACGGCTCCCAAATTGCTCTTTATTTAGTATCACTCTGAGCCTTCTATTTTAGCCCAATTTAGCAATTGTGAAAGGTTTGTGTGTTGGTAAGCAATTTTTTATTCAGTGTTTTCATAAAAGTCTTATTTTTATGCATTTTGTTTTCATTACAAAACAAAAAAAAATATGCATACTATTATTTAACATTTGAATAAAACTTGAATAATAACACTTTAGTCTTTATTGCAGGTTGGCATTCAGAAATATCAGATGACTCAGCTTGGATGTGCTGATGTGATTTCTCCTCTCTGTGATTATTTGTCCTGTTTTTGAGAAGACTCTCTCTGAGAGGACCGATGTTGCAACAATGCAGTGTCTTCCTACCTAAACCAATCCGGTTGCGTTTAAATGCGGCTCCACCATCTCTCTCTGTCGCTCTGTGTACCTGGCCTGTACCACTACACTCGCTATCTTCGGAGCGTGTGTCCCCATTCCTTCTTTCACATAATGGTATGATCCTACTCTGTCCTCCCATGTGATTAGCTGCATGTGTTTTTTTTATTTTTTATTTTTTTTTGTAACGAAAAATTGCATAAAAATAAGGCTTTAATGAGAACACTAAATAAAAAAATCAACACACAAACCATTCACAATTGCTAAATTGGCCTAAAATAGAAGGCTCCGGCTGAAGATTCGGCTCTCCCCGACGGGAGTCGGCTCTTCTCGTTCGCTACAAAGAATCAGCTCTTAGAGCTGGCTGCTCGCAGAGCATGTGAGCGGAGCAGAGCGTGAGCGGAGCGGCTTGCTTGGGCGGTTAGAGCGACTGAGTGGAGCGCACGTCCATAGAGCAGAAAACGTAGTGGAGCGTCACACCGCTCCGCTTCGCTCACATGCTCTGCTCGCTCGTGAACGACACATCACTATTGGTGACATTTAAATGTGACTTTAAGACAACACAATCTATTGACTGGACTGTATCTCAGTAGCTCACAGCATAATTTGTGTCAAATCAAATAATTAAAGTGCAGGGCAGTCTCCCTGGAACACTGCACTTGCGGTTTGGTTAGCATACTTACACTAAAATGTGTGTAGAAAGGTCCCTGCTGAAAAATCAGCATGAATTCCATGTTGTCCCAGGTTGATTTATGCTGGTATAGTCCTGATACACTACTGGTCTAGCTGGTGGACCAGCATAGTCCACCAGCACTACCATTTCCCATGGGGGGTACCAGGCAAACCAGAATCCCATGCTGGTTCCAACATGCAAAACATGCTGATAACCAGCCAACCAGCATCCTATTCTGGTCCCAGCATGCAAAACATACCTAATGCTGGATTTTTCAGCAGGGGTAATCATATAAATATAATTTACCACGCATTCATTCACCATTCCACTCTTCCTGTGTATGTAGGCACAGTCTACTTGTGGATGTTCTGGCCCAGCTTTAATTCTGCTATTGCTGAACCTGGTGATCCTCAGCTAAGAGCTGTTATCAACACCTATTTCTCTCTGGCTGCTTGCGCTCTCGCTGCCTACGCTACCTCCAGTCTGGTGGAGAAGAAGGGGAAACTTGACATGGTGGGTCATGGTAGTCTCTTGTTATTTTACCAGATCTCACATTTCAGCAGTCCATGATCCTTTTGACTTAGCCTATTTTCTTTTGTGGCATAGGTTCACATTCAGAATGCCACACTGGCTGGAGGAGTCGCTGTGGGTACCTGCGCTGACATGGACATCCAGCCATTTGGAGCAATGGCGATCGGAATCACAGCAGGCGTTATCTCCACCGTTGGCTTTAAGTTCCTCACTGTATGAGTTCCTTTCATATCCCAGTGACTCTAATATATTAAAAATCAATCACATATTAATCCGCCATTTTTTTTTTTGTTCTCCTCAGCCCATACTCGCCTCCAAACTTGGAATCCAAGACACCTGTGGCGTGCATAACCTCCACGGCATGCCAGGCATCCTAGGGGGCCTTGCTGGCATTTTGGCTGCAGCACTAGGAAAGAAAGCCGGGTAGCTTGCAGCTCTTTACATTGCGTCTATGGGTTTTTGCTATTATCAGTATGGCAACAAATGGGTTTAATATATCTGTGCTTGTTTATCCCAGTGTTTCACCAGGCTATCAGGCATGTGGTTTGGCATCATCTCTGGGGTTTGCTTTGGTGGGTGGGTTGATCACAGGTGGGTACCAATACAAACACTATAAAATCTGCAAGATATTGTAATGCTTAAATAAAGTAAATGGATTTAATTAATGTATATGAAAAAATGCAATGCATGCATACAAATGACATGAATATATTTCTTCCTAGAAGAACTTGAACCCATATTCTGAATTATAATTTTGACATACATTTTAACCATATTAAATAGTTTGGCATAATCTTTTATCATATTTTTATTGTTTCCTAGTAACAAAAAAATATATGTATAGAGTTACATATAATAGAGTTATTAAATGTAAACTTTTCTTGAAAAGTTTTTTGTTGTTGTTTTGTTTTGTTTTCCCATTAAACCATGAACCAACATGAATTCAGAGAGTGCATTTAAAAAAGTAAAAAAATAAATAAAAAAACATTACAAAAGTAAAACATTTTTCATACCTTCTCCAGGTCTGATTATGAAGATTCCATTCTGGGGCCAGCCACCTGATCAAAACTGCTTCGATGACTCAATCTTCTGGGAGGTACGTCAAAAAAAAATTGACATGTTAATGCTATTTTGTAATGCAAGGACATGTTCACAACTGTTTTTAATGCTTAGGAAAATGTCTTGTAGCTAATAAGTTTGATAATTGCGGATGCTTTTGATATGCAGGTACCTGAGGAAGAAGAGGAAAACGAAGAGCGTTTGACTCATGGCGATTATTCCAAGACCAAAACAGAGGCTTGAAGCTCTGCTCCAAACCAGTTCACTTCGCAAATCAAGAGACCCGGTCCAATAAGCACCTCAGGGGCTGTTCAACATCAGCATCTACTCCACTTACTAATATCTTCAACAGTGAAATCATCATAAGTACTAAGAGATGTCATGTATTATTTTGTAATGTGTGCTTTTCTAAATACATGTAGCTAAATTTTTAAAACGCCTGCAATTCATTTTATGACACTGATAAGTAGTGTCTCAAACCTATATAATGAAAGCATTATATAATGAAATGTAAGATGGCTAAAAGCAATTCCCCAAAAGTTACTAAGCTAACTCAAAGTGTAGGTCAGTTATTGTCGTCATCTGCTGAAATGCACATAACTGAATAGTTGCTCACTGTAATGTGCCAAAAATCTGAGCCAACGCGAGACCCTGTGCTTAAGTGTGTTATCAAAGTAGTTCATTTTACTTTGAATAAGCTTTTATTATTATTGTGTTTTTTCAGACCCAACTTTCATCATCACTAGACATTTTGACCAATGCTCTTGTAATGTTTTTTTATATATATATAATCATGCATATTAGTCCACATCCAAAGAGAGATCCTTCAACTTTCTTGCAATAATTATAGTTGCTTATTATTGTGATCAGTAACAACCCTTTATGCAATGACATATGAAGTATTTTAAGCTATTGTATCCCAAAGAACTAACAAAAATATTGGTAACTTTTATATTTTCACACAATTTCTAATACTTTAATATGAACAAATACAGTGGCCCCAACAAGTAATTAAAAAGTCACCTTTGAAATTGTATACAAAATATCAAAAATAAAATTAATGCATTTAAAAGAAAGATAATAACTAAGCACACTTTTCCAGTTTGTTGGGATAACATTAGTGGAGCATGTTCATAGTTTATATGATTATCTTCAGCTGTTGTTGCTCTACTACACCTGAGTGAACTTGTGAATTTGAGAAGAACTAAATGCATACCTCCACTAATGGACCCTGGGACCAACTGATTAAAAATAATAACATAGAAATGAAGTTCATTCTGACGAAACACTCACTGAGGAATCATCATTTGTTGACAGTGTGATGCAGTGTCAAGAAAAAAAAAAGCGTTTTGGAGCCACTGTACATTTACATCTTTGAAACTTCATCTTTTTGTAAGGATTGTAGTCACACAATAGCCTTACATTAAAGCTCTTTTACTACATTGCTTGAATGTTTAGCTCATAATACAAATAAGCAGACGTGATCGGATAGTCACTTCTTGCTCTTGGTAAGACTACTAAATGTCATGTTTTTTAATGATAAAGAGGTCTTACTGCAAGCTGACTTACTGATTCAATTTGTGTGTCTCTGAATGTATGTTACCATATGCCTCACTCCAAACCTCATCACTTAATTGTATTTGAAAAGTCTGTGAATGCATTAAACTTCTACTTGTACATTTATAAAACCAGCTATCTGAATTATTTTTTGTTATAGCCTAATGATTGTACTGAAGGCTGTTATGTTCATTTGTGATGTATGAGTATAATCAGGATTTAAATTAAAGCAATAAGCCCCAAGAAGCCGTGGTTTACAGTGAATTTATAACAGCTAAGGGGCGTTGTTAGGCACGACGCGAAGCCCCCGTTATAAATTCACTGTAAACCACGGCTTCACGGGGCTTATTGCTTTTATAAAACGGTTATTCCATATACGTAGTAAGGTTTCACAAAATAAAACAGAGCAAATAAAGTGTAATGATATTAATAAAAACAGTATTCTTCCACCAAACAATGTAGTTCCTCAGAATCCGTTGTGGTTGCAACAAAGTGGTTGCCAAGCAACAGACAAACGTAAACAAAGGTGTATGTTTGTAGAGTAATTTACAACACCTTCGAACGTGGCTCAGCCAATCAAAATCAAGGACCGGAACTATCGTTTTATAATGTTTGTTTTAACTTCTTTGAGCAACAGCAATTTAGCTTTGTTTTTACAGACTCATTTTTAATCATCACTAGAGATGCATAGTGATGTACGATACGCTTTCATAAGGATTTTTTTTTTTTACTATCATGCCTAGTCCCTAATACCTTTCTTGCAACAATAGTTATCGTTGTAATCAGTACAACCAATGATAAATTATTTGAAACTATTTAAAACCCTAACCCTGAAAAACTAACAAATACATTGTCAATTTAATTTTCAGACATAACACAAAAGAGATGCAATAATGACAATGCTTTCAGTGACCGTGAGGGAGAAAATGTCCAACATTTAGTATCAATTAGCCCTCTGTAGGAAAAGTCATGTATTACAGAGGAAATATTCCCTCTTGTATTCGGCTTTGTTTTGCTAAATTAAAACCAATGAAACATTATTTTTTAAACAATCTATACACAATGCAGTTACTTTAGATAAGCAAAGACAAAGCTGTAACGGGTGTCTTAGAACGATTTGCCTAATTTCCAGTGTTCCTCTGGCTCTAGTCATTGGTAGGCCTATTTGGAGAGCACAATTTCAAGATATCAACTGCAAAGAGACTTTTAAAATCTCCAGACGTTTTTGTATTACCAATAAAATCAGAGAAGTATTTAAGATTGTTCATTGTATTTATCCTGTAAAACAGGTGGCCTAATAGCAAAGTTTTGTAAAGACATTGACTTGAAGTGTGTTTTCTGTAAAGAGGAAAATGAGAGTATTGCCCATTTATTTTATGATTATATTTACACAAAACTATTTTGGTGTGATTTGGCTTTTTGGTTAAAAGATTGAATTACAACTCAAAGAAAAGGATGTTTTATTTATTTATTTATTTATTGTATGAGTATAGCCTGTTGACTTCACAATATGGTATGTTGTGAATTTACTCATTATATGGAAAATCCTTTATCCACAAATGTAAATGTGAAAAAAAAAAAACTTACTAATTACTCATTTTAATACAGGAATAGGTCACTAAAGAAACAATAAATAACACAGCGAAAAAAACCTGTAAATTATTTTAAAGCCTTAAATCTATTATTTGAATACTATTATAGCCTACTGGGCATGTGATTTTCTTTGCTTTCCCTATAGTTTTATTTATTTATTTATTTTATTGTTTTTGCTTATTATTGTATTTGTTTTTATGTAATGTATATATGTTATTTCCCTTGCATGTTGTTCTAAAGATTGCAATAAAAAAATAAATAAATAGCCTAACAAATAAAAATAAGCATAACGGCGAATGCTAACGCTGCGACTTTGATGCATTTTTGTTTGTTTGTTTGTTTGTTTTGAATGTATGTCAAAGGAGGAGAGGCTCCACTACGCTGAATAAACAGCTTTTGTGAGGAAATAGTTTATCGTTTAATGAATCGACAACCTGTTCGCTGATCTTAAACATGTTTTAGGCTACACTAATATGGAGGACGAAACCTGCAAAAACAATAAATAAATAAATACACAAATAAATAAATAAATATGCAAATAAATAAATAAATGTCTGTATAAATACACAAATTCTTGTTTAAATACATATAGAAATAATTAAACGTGATTAAAGTAGGCAAATAAATAAAATAAATTGGTGGGCAAATGGAAAATGTTTAAGGAAATGCTAAACTCATCCTATTTATTTTCCTTTGATCACTCATTTATTTCTGAATGTAGCTTCACATTTATTTTTCCCCTGCACAACATGCTAA